GTAAAAACAAAAGCAAGCACACTTTTATCTTCTCTCCATCATTAAACCGAACTGTTTCTAGCCTCTCCTCTAAAATGTGTCCTGTAATAGACTTTGCCCCCTACAAAACCTTATTACGAAACCTTATGGCTCCCGGACTCGTCCTTACTGCGTCTGCCTCCTCCTTATTTGGCACTTCCTCGCATCTTAAGCCCGTCACCAAGGCATACTCCATCATCCCAAACTGTAGTGGCTTTCCGTCCACCACGAACCACATTTCATTTTTTTTGTTGCATTTTACTGAGTGCATCAACATGTAATGCACTCCCTGCCCCCAAAATGACTTTTTCCAATTTGTTCCGATTCTTAAAAACTGCCGACACAGTGCCACCAAATCTCTTTCACCATGCCTCATTCAGCTAAAATGGCCCTTATTCTGTCAAAAACCTCCCAGCTCGACCTCACCGTCACCCTTGCAGGGAAGTAGGGTACCTTCTCACTTATAGGCTCCAACTCGTACTCTCTACGTTTACGGTTCCCAATCTGCACAATCGATTAAATAAATGTCATCAACAAAATAACAAAAACCACTGTAGTCGCTTAAGCGATCTCGGATCGCTTAAGAGTCTTTACTGTCTCATGCAAGATCGCTTAAGAGATTTTAATCGCTTAAGCGACCAAAAGTTAAATGAGAATCTCTTAATATCTGTATTCTGCCCAGACCTAAGATCGCTTAAGCGACCAAGAGTAAACACTCATGATCGCTTAAGCGATCTTAGGTCTGGGCAAAATCAATTGCCCAGATCTCAGATCGCTTAAGCGATCCTTTTTATCGCTTAAGCGATTATTGCTGCGATCACGAGTAAAACAAATAATGCTTACAGCGATACAAATGATCGCTTAAGCGAAATTACAAGCAACATTCCCAAACTACGTACCCTATCTTTGCCGGCTTTCTCCTCGTCGCCTGGATCCTCCGGCGACTCCTCCTAGCCTGAATTCTCGTCGGAATCTACCTCCTGGCCTGAATTCTCTCCGAAATCCTCCTCCTGGCCTGAATTCTCGCCTGACTCCTCGTCTTCAGACCCCTTTGCTGGTTCTTCCCCCTCTACGTGTGGACTACCTTCAATGGTCAGATGATCCACCGGAGCAGCCATTGAACTGCTTGCACCACCGGAATCTAGGATTCGAAGTGGCGTTGGGCTTTCCTCCTCATTGTCAGTGTCACTCGTGGTTTTGGATTGAATTTGGTGTCAAAGTTTGCAGTTTCGATCGAAAATCTGAACTGTATCGCCGAAAATGGCACAGTTTTCGTTTACGGTTAAGGAAATCGATTTTAGGGTTCAACAAATTGATCGAAAATCGCGACTATATCGCCGAAAATCGCGACTGTATTCGGTTTAGGGTTCAAGAAATTGATTTAGGGTGTAAATCAATTGGTAAATCAATTGGTGTTCGATCAGAAAAAAATCGTCTCTCCCTTTCGTTCATGAAATCGCTTTTTGAACTGATGAATTTCGATTAAGCGAGGTGAATAGTTATGGGGCTTGTTTTGCGAAATTTCAAATTTTAAAAACTTTCATTATTTCTGATTCGACCTACATATGTTTTAATCTTTTCATTTTAACCCATTTTACGTGTTTAATTAATCCTATCTATGACACATCATCTTCTTTAAATTTAAAAAAATTTGATGAACAGCTTCAAAGCCATTTTCTTAAATACATACTTGGGATGATGGGCAGCTAAATTTTCTCCAAATCTCCTCCTCTAGTAACCAATCTCCTCCACCTCCGACTCCAACCAAATCTCACAACAACATCCCAGACAACCAAATCCCCCCTACAAGCCATGGCCACCGTCACCCAGCCACAGCCGCCACCACCACCACCGTTGCCCAGCCACGCAACTCTCTAAATTTCTTTCAAGGCAACCCCCTCTGCAAATGAGCCATCACAAATCGCCGACAAAAACACGACCAAAGACGAAACTCCACAACCCAAACCAACAAACAACTAGAAATCCCTGAAAAGCCCAAACTGATCAAGAAAATCAACCAAAGCTACCGCGCTTCAGCAGTGGCGCAGGCTGGGCTAAACCTGTTGAAATCCTACCTCAAGAACGAAGCAAGAAGTGGCGGTGATGGAAATCAATCCTGGTGGCGTCGCGTCGATGGTTTTGCCGCTTTTCCGATGCCAAATCACAACCGTTACCTTCCTTGTTCACCGACGAACCACAAGCAGCAAAGTCGCTCATGTTCGCTGCTGATCTACCAACAAGACTTCAATCGTGCCTCCCTTGATCGCTATCGATCATGCCTCATGTTGTCGCGGCTCACCACGCGACTGAGGAGTTGACTAGGCCACGGTAGCTGGCGACTGTAGGTTAGGGACGGATAGAGGAGCGTGGTTGCTGGTTAGGGACAGAAATGGGAGGTTCTGGCTGAGGGAGGAAGAGAGAAGCGGCGGAAGAGAAGAAGGGGGAGATGAAGAAGAACAAGACGGGAGGAGGGGGAGATGAAGAAGAACATGATGGGAGGGTAGTTTGGTAATAGTATCCCCTGCATTGCCAGAACTTAATGATTACTGACGCTGTTATTTTGAGGGTAAGAATATGAGATTTATGAAATCAGGTGAGAACTTGCCATTTTGAGAAGAGCAATACTACTCTTACAAAGACAAAAACAAAGAGACCATACAAAGATAATTTCCACCCTCCATCTTCATGATTTCTCTCTCTCTCTCTCCCTCTTTTTTCATTTTTTCTTTGTTTTTTCCTTCTTGGTGATGTCACTTTATAACTCTCTTTGTATTATCTTTGTAAGGATAGCATTTTTCTTTTGAGAAAGCTTGGGCAGGAACTGGGAACATGTGTTTACTCCCCAATTTTTTAATGGACTTGTCCAGAGGTCATCTTGTTTGATTAAAAGGCTCTGACTACTTATTAGTTGTTTGGTTCAAAGACTTTGACTACTTGTTAGTTGCTAGGAATCTAATATGGAAGGGCTAAAATAAAATAATTTCAATATTTATTTAATATGTTATAATTGTTTCATTTATATTTTGAATATGACGTATAATAAAGATTGTTATCAATATTAAAAATAAATCAAATATATATATAGTTGATAGAAACTTAGAGAATTAAAATTATATTTTATGGTTTCTAGCACACAACATTTTTCGGTGATCGAGAGTGTCTGAGTTAGCTTGCGTGCATTTCAACTAATCTTTCCAACGTCATGAAGTTAACGATTAGATAAACTTTCTAGTGATTACCCATATTAACAAATGGAAGAGAATTGAATTTAAGACTTTTTGAGTAATACACCCAAGATTTCATATTGCTCTACGCGACCACTAAAGGGTGGTTCTAACATACAATCTTATTAGTCATTAAAGGTTTAATGTCAAATTTAATGAATGTGTAGAGAAAACAAAGCAAATTGTATCATTATTCATTGTCAGAGAAGATATTAAAATTAGGTAATATATATACGCTTAAAAAAGATTTTAGTTCATTGAAATAAAGAGTGGAATAAGTAATTCATGAACTGTATTAATTGTGATAAAAAGGTGCTTTTTAGTAATTTTAATTTAAATTATACATAACTTGAAAAAAAATATTAATGGGGTTTAGAAAAGATTTAACAGACTTAAATGACATTACTCCTCTTCAAAACTAATACCAGCACTTAGATTATCGGCTTAAAAGGGAACAACTAGACCCAAATAAGTTAAGGTAAGTAATTTTTAATTTTATTTTTTGTTTTGAGAAAATTAACCTTAATTTAAATAACTAAAAATAACATTATAATATCAAAATATACTCCTCCTTTATTTATTTATTTTTTTGTTTTGATTTTTAACATTGATTACATAAACCCTGACCTAGGGGCAGATTTAGAAATTTTTATGAGGATGGGCTAAAATAAAAATTAATTACAAATTAATATTTTTATCTATTAGTATTTTTATTAGGGTGGGTCAAAATTCAGAAATTATAAATATTAATATTTTTATTAAAAAATTTCGAGGGTGGGCCATACTAGAGTAGCATCTGCCCCTGTCCTAACGTTAAATTTTAATAATCTAATCCTAAATTTTAATAATCATATTTATACATAACTTTTGTTTTATTTTAAATATTTGTTTGTTTGATAAAAATATAATACTAAAATTATAGAAAACATAACGAGATGAATTTCAATCGAAAGATTAAAAAGTAAGTTGAAATTAGGAAATAGGAGAAAAAAGGTACAAAGAAAAATCATAATTAAGTTTGATTTGGAAAAAAAAGTGTAAAACAAAAAACTTAATTAAGTTTTAAATTGGAGAAAAATCCTCCATTTAATTTGTTTCACGTCAGTATTCTCTGTATTATGTAAAGACATTTACTAGTCAAGTCTTTACTTTTAAACGATTATTTGAAGCCAAGAAAAGTAGAGATCAGAGAACTTTCTTAGGAAGTTACGTGAAGAAAATATAGATTAGACAATTGTCTTATAAAAAGTTTCCAACATCGGAGTTATCTAATGACCGTGTGCTGCTTCATCTTCTCCAAACCATTTATTTTAACTTGACAATATATGCGGAAACTTGCAATGGGTTCTTCATATTTGCTTTCCATTATTCTTTATATGTTTATTATAAGCATCAGTGTTTCTACTGTAGATGAATTTGCTGATATTTGTTACGAGAAGGGAAACTTCACAAGAAATAGCGAGTATGAAAAGAACCGCAATGCCTTCCTCTCATCTCTTGCTACTAATGTCGAAATAAATGACGGCTCTTACATGGCCGTCCTTGGCCAACACTCTGACAGAGTTTATGCTCGTGCGGTTTGCAGAGGAGATTCTACGAACGTATCTTGCGCCAGTTGCGTCAGTTCAGCAACTGATGGTCTTATTGCAAAGTGTCCGAACCAGAAAGAAGGTCTTTCCTGGGGATTAAGGGATTCCGATTCTCCCTGCTTTGTACGCTATGGAAAATACTCATTTTTCAAAGAATTTGGCTTCTAGAATGGTATTAAAGGCCTCTAGTTCTGAGAAAAAATTTGTTACTGAAGAAGTAAATGTGACAGCCTTTGTACGTACGTATGCATTAATGCAGTGTACTGCAGACTTACCTCAAAGTGATTATGAGATTTGTCTACGTACATCTGCGGCTCAATATCAGGCTTGCTGCAATGGGGATCAAGGAGGTATTGTTCGCATACCTACATGTATTTTTCTCTGGCAGATGTATCCATTCTGTAATGTTACTCCAGAATCTCCGTCCCCGTCCCCTCCGATTCCACCCCGTAACTTGACAGCGTTGACGAAATTTTATAACTAAAATTTGTATTTTAACCAGCATTAATATTTAACTTTTTAATGTTACTGCAGGTACTCCGTCACTGCCTCCTCCAATGGCACCTGGTAAGTTTACATTTTATTGAAAATAGTTCAAATTAAACATTCATTTGAGTGTCCTCTTTTAAGTTTGTACAGTAGTAGTAGATCCTTTAAGAGCATTCTTATTCCATCATTCATAACCATTAATTTATTTTTTGAAGTACATTATGTAGTCCTCATATCGGTTACATGCAAAATTAAATATTGACAGATATTTGCTTCTTTGAAGAAGGAAAAAGAAGCCAATCACAATGGATAGTTATCGGGGCAGTTGTATCAGCAATTCTGGTAATCATACTATTTGGTTTCTTCTTTTGGCGTATTTGGAGAAGAAAAAATGGTAATTACTTCTTCTATAAGCTTGCCATTTACAAATTTGAAGCTATTCCCTTCCTTTCTTTCTTTCAGAATCTAGACTAATTCAGTCTGACATGCAGAGGAGGAAGCAAGAAGACGAGCAATTCAATTACTTTTCTCCGAAGATGACAGCGAGCATAATATCTTAGGTGGAGAGAAGCAGGTAGAATCTCCAGATTTCCCTCTTTTCCCGTTAGGTCAAATATTAGAGGCTACACAAGATTTCTCCAATGAATATAAGCTTGGAGAAGGAGGATTTGGTCCTGTGTACAAGGTAATTAACTAAACGGTGGTTCCTTTTCTCTATGGTGCAACTAATTATTTTATGAACACGGATTCTTTTCATATATGAGTTTTATTGAGCTTTTACAAACCTTATGAATTATAATACGTGTATATGAATGAACATGTTTAGTTGAGATTTGTTTTCTGTTTAAATCTTTTTTATTGATCACTAGACACTAATCACAATTTTATATCAAGCTTAAAGACTGGGAAGATTTTAGTTTGTATGGTTATATATATCACTTACCAAACATCTTCGTTATTAATGTCATGATATAAAGCATGATATAATTATTACTTTCTTCGTTGTGTTTTTTGTTTGATGGTAGCAATTGAGTTTTGGTTACGGGTATATTAGCAGATGGTAAGGAAATTGCAGTCAAAAGGCTCTCAAGAAGATCTGGGCAAGGACTAAAAGAGTTCAAGAATGAAGTTATTTTAATTGCCAAATTACAACATAAAAACCTTGTAAGACTCTTGGGATGCTGTTTAGAGGGGAAAGAATTGCTGCTCATCTACGAGTACATGCCAAACAAGAGCCTTGATATGCACCTATTTGGTTTGCCTCTCAAAACATTTACTACTTAACTACTTACTCATTGTTGCATAATTATATAAGAACTAAAACTTGAATACATTTCCTTACTTAGCCATAAATTAAGAATGACAAAGTTGGTGATTGGTGTTGTATTTCCTTTCCTTTACTCTGTTGTTAGATTCAACAAGGAGTGTACAACTGGACTGGAAGAGGAGAGTAGCTATCATTAATGGAATCGCTCGAGGTCTTTTGTATTTGCATGAGGATTCTCGACTCAAAATCATTCATCGTGATCTAAAGACTAGTAATATTTTATTAGATCATGAGATAAATCCAAAAATATCAGATTTTGGTATGGCGAGAATATTTGGTGGAAATCAAAGTGAAGCTAATACCCTAAGAGTAGTTGGAACATAGTAAGCATATATCTTCCCGTTTGGTTCAATTCCTTCAATACTATAAGATAATAATGGAAAATTGCTTTGGATATTTTTTTTCCTGTGTATAACATTTTTTTATATGGAAATTTGCTAGTGTAAAGATGCACATGATGTTGAATTCTCTTCTCAAATTTTTTCTTGAAATTCAAACAGTGGCTACATGGCTCCAGAATATGCTATGGACGGAATATTTTCAGTTAAATCAGATGTCTTCAGTTTCGGAGTTCTTCTACTAGAGATTATAAGTGGAAGAAAGAATACCAGCTTTCATCTTTCAGAAACTGGCCGCAGCCTCCTTGCTTATGTATGTGAATATATATATCATTGAATTTGAAAAATAATTTCTAATGAGAGACCGAAAGTAAACATTTTAGGTCCTTGAAGTTTAGGTTAGGAGACAGTTTGGTCGTTTAAAATCCAAAAGTAACACTTTGACTCTTATCCAAGGGACCTAAATATGTTACTTTCATATGTTTTATTTAGGGACCAAAGTTTCATTTTTCGGGATCAAAATGTTAGTGATATTAATGGACCCAAAATTTACTCTTAAATATTAGGGACCTAAATCAATTTATCTTTTCGAAAATTTTAGTTTATAACTTAAATTTATATGTTTCAGGCGTGGAAACTATGGTGTGAAGGAAATGCATTAGAGTTAATGGATCCCGTACTTGCGCAAGCATATGTTCCGGTTGAAGTAATGAAATTTATCCATATAGGGTTGTTGTGCGTTCAGGAAGATCCAACATATAGACCTACTATGTCATCTGTAGTTTTTATGTTAGTAAGTGATAATGTAACACTTCCTAAGCCTAGCCAACCTGCATTTTCTATTGTTCGAGTTGCTCAGTCAATTCAGTCCTCATTAAATGGTAAAAGTTGTTCTGTTAACGAGGTAACTTTTTCAAGTATGACACCTCGTTAACAATTTTTGACTGATTAAGTATTTTTTGTTGTTATTTACGTTGTTAAATGATCTTCATAAACAAATATGATGTAGAAAGTTGCCACCGAGTGGACATTTGCCACCATTTATACCAAGAGAGGGTCTATATAAGTTTTGTAGTAACCTACGTAATTGTTGCAATTATGTCTGTGAATCGTTATTAGAGACAAACATTGTTTTATCTTATAGAGATGTGAATGACGTCCTGCTACCACTTTGTTATTGACCATCTTCCACCATTTCATCATTAAATTGTGATTGTAATATTAATATATTATATGTATGTTAGCCTTTTCCTTTTTTCCAATTTTCCATATATATATCTTGCTTCAACTTAATATATATATATATATCTTCTTATTTTTCTCATTTTTTATGGGAATTGAATTCTATTTTACTTTATCTAATTATTATAGAATGTGTTTTGATAATTGATTTGTACTTGATGAATAATTATAAAGTTAATTGAACCTATAACAAAATTTGTTTCATATTCCAAAGGATTTTAAGACATATAGAATTAAAAAAAAAAAAAAAAAAAGGAAGTTTAACGGGTATCCAACAAAGATATTTTAACAGCTTATTAAATAGTATCTAGGACAAAAATGAATAATTTCATATAGTATGTTTATCAAATAGATTTAAAATTAAAGAGGACGTCAATATAAATATTTTTGGCAAATTACTTTAAATAAAAGAAAAAGTACTTAGAAAAATGAATTTTTATTTTTAATTTTACATAAGCGAAAAAATAAGTCAGTTGAATTAATCAAGATATTGAAGGTATAATGTATTTATCGAAAAAGAAAGAGAGACGTCTACAAAATTATAAAAGCTTTCTAAAAGATTGTGTATTAACTTTAACTTAAAATGATAGCATATATTTAAAAAAAAAAAAAAAAAAAAGATGTTATCACTGAAAAAATATGTGTTCTTAAAACAACATCAAGAGAACACAAGTTTTTAAAACTATAGTTAAAGGATACTTAATGGTGGAAAAATGTCACATCATTGTTCTTTGACGGCTGAGAGTTGCCTAGATTAACAAATCGTCGGCCCTTGGGCCTCCATGCGTTGGCAATGTTAGGGATGATTAACCAATAATGGATTGGCTGAGTAGTGATGACTTAGAGCCAAGGGATTTACTCCCTCTATGATCTCATGTTTGAATCATAAGAACGGTTGTTAATATTGTTATCCACGGACCGTCGGACTTACCTGTTTCGGAAGCCTTGTTCGAGATAAAGAGACTAATCGAGATGCATGTGAGTTGACCTAGACAATCCCGGTAACAAAAAAAACTTGGACAATCCCAATAAAAAAAAAAAAAAGAGAGGGAACACAAGTTTCTTAAACTATAGTTAAAGGACACTTAATGGTGGAAAAATGTTACATCATTGGTCTTCGGTGGTTGGGAGTTGCCTAGATTAACAAATCGTCGGCCGTTGGGCCTCCACGCGTAGGCAAGTTAGGGATGGTTGTTGCTTGGTGATGTCGGCTGGCTATCGGTTCCATTTTATCAATTTAAAAAAAATAATAATTATAATAATAAATAATTATTAAATAAAATATAGTAATATAATCTAAGATTTATTTATAATATTTAATTTTATTTTTTTATGAAATATTTTAAATTATTGAGGTGGTACTTATCTAATTAGTTTTTAATGGATTTCATGATGTAATAGAATATACATATATAAAAATTTAGACTTGAAGTAATTTCATTTCAGAATCACAAATTTTATTCAATTCCCTTAGCATTCCTAATTACAAGCAAGTAATGAAATTTAGAATATACATATAATAATAGAATTTACTATTCCATATCCCTTGGTACATTTCCATCCCATTGCCAGTCTAATACCGAAACCAAACATTTCCTATATTAATGTGTTGATGCGTAATTTTGCACTAACGAAACGCTGTGAAATGGTGTATAGACCCAGAAGTCACACGTGAATGTGATGGATAAAGAGATTGTAAATGCAATGGAGACAATTTTTAAAGTGGTTTAGATGCTAAGGTAGCAAGTCCTATGTCCACTGATGCTTATATTGATGATAAGGGTCAGGTCACTATTAGCTGACTGACTTTACAATGATATTATAAGGTATTAAATGCTAAGAATTCTAAAGAGAGAGAGAGAGTAATTAATCAAGTGTAAAATGTGCGAATCCCCCTTAATGAGAGATGAATTTCCAATTTATAGTCAGATGTTATGAGGCAATAATCACTAAATCTGTAAGTTGGTGGGATTATCCGTGCAAATCCTTCTTTATGTCACATTACCCACCTTCCAGAGTGATTTGCGCGATTTAGAGCAGGGATTGGACACGCGGGAGCACCACAGCCTCCTGACTAGCCTGACGTGCACCCACTATCCTAACGGACGCAGACGGTGGTTATTCCAATGATCTAACTTTTGTAGGCTAAATGGATCTGACGTCAGTCCTTGTATTTTTAGGCATAACATAATGTATTCGCGCAAAAGTATCAATGTCATATTCCTCATTACTAGCCACTAAAATTTAGGACTTTACGTGAGGTGTTAATTGTAATATCCCTTATACAACTCCTCATATAGTCAGATTTCAATAATATTTTGCTTATAATTGAATCATACAATTGAGTCATATAAACATATAAAAATTACATAAAATTTATATAAAATGACTATTTTGTCCTTTATTTTTTGTATGTTTGGATAACTTAGTTAAGCATAATATTACTTCTACAATTTTTTTCAGCTTTATCATCAGTTTTGCATGTTACTCAAACATAATGCATCTTTCCGATTTATATTTTCTCTATTGATCTTTCTATTCGTTAGTCATTACTGAAATACAAGCAAAAAAACTTTTAACAAGTGCGAAACGTAAAAAACATAAATTGCCCTTTTCGCCTGAAGGATGATCCAGCAGGATTCAGTAATCCTTTGAACTTTCAAATGTGAAGAAGATCTCATATAATGAAAATATTGTCGGGTTTGATTTCCCTCCATGTGGTGGATGGCCCATTTTAGTAGAGCCCGTGTTGGGCCATTAAGCCCATAAGAGAGAACTAAACATTTTTCATTATGGAACAATAGTTTAATATCAAATTATTTTAATATCATCAAAATTGTATAATATATTTTGTTTAATGTAATATTCAATAAATTGTATAAATCGATGGTTGTTTGCAATGGTGGTAAATGTGTTGATTTTGTTACATATAATATATTAGTATCACCCATCATTAAGTACATCATATATTTACGTTTTAAAATATCCCTTTAAACCTCAATTAAAACCAATGATAACCCTTTTAAACTTACATTTTTCTCATATTATCATTCAAACTTCTAAAAACAAAAAGATTTGTCTTGTCCTCACTCTCTAAGCTTTACTTCTTCCCTATTCTTTGTTATTGGCTTTCTACTCTCTTTGCAGATGTAAATTAAAATGCAAACAAAACAAAATACTTACAAGAGTTCAAATAATATTTAAAGCTTAAAATTGCCCCAGTTTTTTTATACAAAAGAATTTAATTTTTATTTGTTCGATCCAATAATTAGGTTTTACATGTGGAAATAAGATTAGAATAAAATTTGATTAAAATTACAATCCCTATATATATATATATATTGATGCGAAGATTTTTACAATAATTTTATTTAAAGTCAAAATTGAAAAATTAAAAAATGGAGCTTAAAATTCACAACCTTGTGTAAATTTTCAAATAATTATTCATGTTTTTGTACTAATTTATAGGGTTTTCTTGCCTAAAGTCAAAGCGTAATGTAAACTCTCCATGGTCTCATGTCATTTTAGGCCCTTGTTTTTGTTTCAAAGATATAATACAAGATTGAGGATTGCAAAACAAGTAAAAAATTGGGATTCATAATTCAAATTTTTGTACCACTTTCTCTGCTAATTGGGAGATTTTTGTTTTATTGTACTAAGAAGAAACTATTACATGCATAAATGAATATTTAAGTTGTGAAAAGCGTGAGGCCTTTGAGAGTTTGTGACTTTGGAAAATGGTTTTCTGAGTTACAAGGGGCCAGTGAATTTTAAATTCCTAGCTTGTTTGCTCTGAGAGTTGTTTTGTTAAAATAAATTTCAACTCTTATTTTGGACTCAACAACCTCATATGCAATATACCAACCCCACAGAACAACTGAACACTGCACTTTCTCATCTTCCAGTGCCCTTTATCCACGAATTCTGTGCTTAAACCTAAACAGAAAGTGATGTTAGGTGGGAAGTATCTTGTTCTTGAAAGAATGTCGCACCCCCACTAATTACAAGTACACTCTTTATTATCCCAAATACTCACCTCTTATTAGCAATTTTCAACCAAGAGGGGTTTAGAGACGAAGGAAATTGGGCTCTTGCAATGCATATTTTTGAGAAGCAAACCACCATCAATTTTTAGGTGCTGATACATTGTTGTACTTCAACTCGTCATCTCATCTTAGGATTATGGCATTACATTAGGCTCTGGAAGCTCTGCCATATATAGCTCTCTAAGGAGGTGAAGCAATGGGATCCTTCTTGTGGCTTCATAAGACAACTCTTTAATAAGGGAGTGCATCGATCATTGGCTCCCAAATCAAAATGGAGCTCCATGCCTTATCAGAAGAAGAGCAACTGTCCACCGAACACAACTGACTGGATTTTAAGAAAACTTTGATACTGATAAAGAATTTATGCCAGTGTTAGAACTGAAAATGATTAAAAACTTTGACATAGAAAATGAATATTAGTTACAAAAACAAGACTTTCAGAGAAAAATATACCTTGAGATCACAGCTTCCTTTTGGTCTCCACAAACCATGCCTATAGGCAATAGGCTTGAAAATCATAAGTTTTGAAAAGGCTTCAGCAAAATTTCACAAACATCCCCATAACCCATAACTCTCCAGCTGCCAAAATTTCAACATTCGATCACCAACACCTTTAAAAAATTTTCATAAAGCAGTAGCAGAAACCTTTACTAAAATGCAAATGAGGGAATCAAACTAA